CCCCAAAAACCCGGCTGAGACCCCCAAAAACCACCCCAAAACCACCCCTGAGACCCCCAAAAACCACCCCAAAAACCCGCTGAGAGCCACGGCGCTGACCTGGAGAATAAAGGCCTTGAATTTACGGAGCTTGTTTTGGGGTGCGATGGAGAAATGTGAGGGGGGAATACGAAGGAAAAATGAGGGGGAAAAGGAGGGGGAGTTTAAAGGGGAAAAGGAAGGAGGGTGAGGGGGGAAAGAGCGGGAAATGTGAGGGGAAAAAAAGCAGGAATTGTGAGGGGAAAAACAGCAAAATTGTGAGGGGACAAAAGAGCAGGAATCGTGAGGGGACAAAAAGGGCGGGAAGCGTGAGGGGACAAAAAGGGCGGGAAGCGTGAGGGGAGAAAAGAGCAAGAAACGTGAGGCGGAAAAGGCAAGAACTACGAGTGGAAAAAGAGCCAAGAAACACGTAAGGAACAGGGAAGAAAACAAGCGGAAAAAAGGTAGGAGGTACGCTCCTCAATTCCTCGGGTGCCCCCTCCCCAAAATGAATTGCAGACTCTGTGGGATTGCTCAGATAATTTATTTTTCCCGGGGTTCGAGGGGTATTGGGCGGCCTCTTTTTCCTCGCCATCACGGGCTTCTGGCTGTGCAGGATTGTGCTGGCCTGGTGCAGGTGGCAAAGGTGGGGGTCAGCACCCCAAAAATAACGGGGAACCCCTCAAAAGCGACCCCCCCAGCAATTAAACACTCTCCCATTAAATACCCCCTAATTAAAGATCTCCTGATTAAACCTCCCGGATTCAAGACCCCAAGGTCAGCAGTTGACTCCCTCAATTAAAGATTCCCCCCGACCCCACAAAATTAACACCTCTAATTAGACCCCAAATTTAACATCTCCACTTAAACCCCCCCCCAATCAAACCCACCAATTAAAACTCTTAATTAAAACCCTCACTTAAAACACAACTAAACCCAAGTAAAGACCTGTTTAACCCCTCAATTAAACCCCCCCAATTAATCCACCCAATCAAACCCCCCAACTAAAACCACCCCAATTAAACTTCCCAATCAAACCCTCTAATTAAAACCGCTCTAGTTAATAATTAATAATTAATATTCCCCCCCTTAATTAAACCCCCACCTTACCATTCTGTATTGCCATCACTGGGGCACTGTGGAGAGAGAATTAATTGAGGGGGGCTTCAGATCTTTGAATTGCCCCAAAGTTTTCCCAAACTGTCCCAAACTCGCCCAAAAGTGCCCCAAACTCCCCCAAAGTTTCCCAAAACTGCCCCAAACTCCCCCAAAATCCCCCAAAACTGCCCCAAAGTGACCCCAAAGTGACTCAAAGTTTCCCAAAACTGCCCTAAACCCCCAAAGTGACCCTAAACTGCCTGAAACTGCCCCAAAGTTTCCCAAAACTGCCCCAAAGTTTCCCAAAACTGCCCCAAAGTGACCCAAAACTGCCCCAAACTGCCCCGAAACTGCCTCAAACTGCCCCAAAGTTTCCCCAAACTGTCCTGAAACTGTCCCAAATTCCCCCAAACTATCCCAAAACTGCCCCAAAGTTTCTCAAAACTTCCTCGAACTGCCTCAAACTGTCCCAAGGTTTCCCAAAACTGCCCCAAACTCCCCCCAAACTGCCCCAAACTCCCCCCAAACTGCCCCAAACTCCCTTAAAACTCCCCAAAACTGCCCCAAACTCCCCCAAAATTGCCCCAAACTGCCCCAAGTTGTCCCAAAACTGCCCCAAACTCCCCAAAACTGCCCCAAACTCCCCCCAAACCGCCCCACCCTCCCCCAACAC